GAGGAGGAGGAGGAGGAGGAGGAGGAGGAGGAGGAGGGTTGGAAGCAGCATATCAAGAAGTGATTGCATGCAAGGCTGGGGTAAACTCTTCATTGCACTTCTGAGCAACGGAAGGGAGAAACTGCTGGGAAATCAACAACAGAAGGATAGGAAACTGATCTTTCAGGTGCCCCTATAGCTGTTTCCCTTCCTGCTCACGCTCCTGCTCCTGCTCCTCCCTCCCCTGCTCCTGCTCCTCCTCTCTTCCTCCTACTACTCCTGTTCCTACTCCTACTAGAACATGGTGTACTTGTCTCTGCCATGTTTCAACCCTTGTGTCAAATCCCCTTCCTCGCTACATCTCCATCTCTTCTCCTCCGTCCAATTTCACTTCCCCGCCTCCCAGACTCTCCCCTTACACTCCCATCATCATCCAGCGCAGCAGCGGGTGGCGTCTGACATGGAGCAGGGGATCGATTTTCACCTAGAGGGAGTGAGAGCGAATGTTGAGAGGAGGAAGGGCAAGAAATTCCCCGAGCAAGTGACAGACTATGAGTCTGCTTGCGTCGTCGTGAGAGGAATCGTCAATTCTCTTGACAAGGTGAAAACGAGGAAGTGGCGGGGGGAAGGAAAGGGGGAAAGGGGGAAAGGGGAGGGGAAGAGGAAGAGGATCAGCTGCAGATTTATTACAAGCAAGAAGAGGAGATGGAGGAGGAAGGGGCAGGAAGCGACAAGCAGGAGGGAGCAGCAGATGGTATACGAGGTTGTTTGTGCTCACATGAAGAGAATCAGGTTAAGGAATTTTACGTCCTCGATGGTTTCTGCACTGAGCACATCGTGGTGTTACAAGACATCTCGAGGTTTGCATGAAGTTTCATGATGTCTTGATCTGAACTCTCCTCGCCTCCCTCATCATCGTCATCACCATCATCATCATCATCATCATCATCATCGTCATCGTCATCGTCGTCATCATCATCATCGTCATCCTTACCCTTCAACTGCCCCGGCCCAACCTAACACCACTTGCCGTTCCCTTCTCTTTCAGGTCTTACAAATATCTCATCGACTTTTGCAACAACACAGATGACGTCTGCAAGCTGCACAAACGACGTCAGTACCACTCATCCCCCCCTCTTCCTCCTACTACTCCTCCTCCCTCTCTGCCCTCTTCCCCCCCCCTAACTTTCCCCTCCTCCTCCCCTCCTCTTTTTCCTCCTCATTTGGTTTCTCTGCTCCTCACTCGGTTGCAGGCATTGACCTCCTTGAGCCTGTGGCGCGTGAGCTCAACCCGCGGGCCTTCGACTGGCTGGCCAAGGAGTTGTGGTACGAGATAGGAGAGGCTTACCGCAGCATGCTCGAGCTCAAGTCCTCTCAGGTCCCTCCTCCTC